CTTATCTTGCCTTTCCAGTCCCTCCCAAACCTGCTTCTCCTCCTCCTACACGTGCATCTTCCCGACGCAAAGGGGTGACAGTTCTGGTGGCCTCTGGGAAGCCTCCTCGCTCTCAGTGTATGCAGCAGTCTATTCCCACCGTTTCCAAGGCTCCTGCCAATATGACTGCGAGGGAGACTGTTAACCATACCATTTATGCACGCGCCTTTCACCCGGCCATTGATCTCCAGTTTCACGAACCTCCTTCCCGTCAGGCCCTAGAATCCATGAAACTTTCTATGCTTCCTGTCGCTCCTGACTCTTTGACCAAGTGAGTCCTTCCTTTCCGTTTTTCATTCACATTCTGATTGTATTTTCTTTACAGACCACCTGCACGATTGCGCAGTGGCCGGGAATATGTCTACCGTTGTCATTCCGATAAAAATCCTTATTTCATCCGTCCTCCTCTGGTCTGTTTGTCTTGTCTGTTCCTCATTTCTGTTCTTATTTCCTCACTCACTAGCTTTCCTGGCCATGCTTTAACTGCACTTTGGCTGGTTTCCCTGAGGAGTGCATTTTTGAGGGTGGAGTTGGCGAGGAGATATGTACGCGCTGTAGGTCCACTCGTCATGGACATTGCTCTGCACGCTGGGATGCCAATCAGCTCCATCGTGCTGCTACCTTATTGGACCCTCTCATTCTCAGTGGTGATGGTGGTATGTCTTTTCCGATCTCTGTTCATTTCTGGTCTGCCTGATTGTCTTGTTCTTAGCTATTCGTCGTGGTGTTGACCGTATCGAGCGTATCGAGGTCGAGATCAAGCTGCTCGCGAGGTCCCTTCAACTCTTGTATGAGGACCGGCAGCAGGTTGTGGGTGAGCTTACTGATGGTCTTGATGCCATTGCTTCTCGTGAGCATGGTACTGAGATCATCGATGCTTATGCACAAGTCTCTGATCTCCTCAAATCTTTCTTGGTACGTCCTGGTTCTAAGGATGCATCTATCAATGGGGATGCTGTGGTGTCTAGCTCTGACAGTGAGTAAAGCCTGGTACCTCTCTTAGCACATCTTGGATGCTTGTACTTCTTTCAGTTTCCTTTCTTCGCCCTATGTTTTCTTGTAGATATTCTTCTTTATTTATAGCCGCA